TGGGATCATATACAGCATATATTCCGGTTATATTGGGATCGTTTAGGACGCGGTTAATGCGAGTGATTAAGCGGGAGATTCGTTCGGAAACGCATGAAATGTTTTCATTATCATCATCATCATCAACATTAGGCGTTATTGCTGACGACAGCGTGACTCGGCAGCAGTTGGTGGGGATGAGAGTGTCGATGATGATGCTTCTGGCCTGTCGATCGAACGACGCCATCGACCCGGCTCCTGGCGAAAAACATCCCAAAAGTTTACAACTAAACCCCGTCTTCCATTTCCAAATCTCCGTTCATTTTTTTATCTCTCTCTTGTCTATTGTTTCTTTGTTATACAAAGTATATAAGAAGATGAATTTGAAAAAAAAATACTCAAAAATTTGTGGACATTCGGGAAAGGGTTGCATATACGAGAAGAAAACACGCGATCTGTTATTTTGAATGAAGCAAATTCAGAACGAAACAAACGCAACTTTAAAATCTTTGAACCCTGGAATAACAAATTTTAATACGAAAATGTATTGCGATAAAAGTTATCCCATCACTGGAAATTAATTCGTAAATGTAAATTGATCGCATTACTTTCATTTTGTTGGAGAGAAAACGTTTAATTATTCTTTTTAGGCCGGCATAATGCAAACGAAAAGGAGGAAAGGCGATAATTTTAAAACTTTTACGCCCAAGTGGATTATAAATTGTTTCTATGCCTGATGCTGAAGTAAGAATGAACTTGCAAGACGAACCAGGCAGATACAATATTTGAATGATCTGAAATCGGCATTACCTCAAAAACAAATCCAACTATTTGGAACTGAAAAATCTCATCAATACCTGCGTCAAAAAAAGTAAATTCTTGCTATAAAATCATACGATGTTTGGTTTCTCTGAAAATTTTTTTCAATTCTTCATAAATGAATACAGTAGCTTTAAATTATTCCAAATTTGAATGTCTCAACTGTGGATCTGTTTTAGCAAGATTTTACTGAACTTGTTCTTGCTGAAAAACTGTTCAAGGATGACAAAAAGGAAAATAAAGACACTGTATAACGAAGTGATCCAAGTCAAATCCTGATTTTCAGCGATGTGACTTGAGTTTGAGTGAACGCGATATATAAAAAAAAAAAAAATCGTGTGTGTATGTGTTTTTTTTTTCATTGCTGATACTCATACTTCCGTCGACGCTGTAGGTATGTCATGCTTACCCATCACCTGAATGTGTACGATATTCATTCGCAGATTTATTCCCACATGTTTCTTGGGTTTTTTTTCAATCCCTATTCTTCTCAATTTATCCCAAATCCGCAGCGAAGCGTAAAAGAGAATTGCTTCTCCTGCTTTGATCCAGTCAGCCAAGGGTGTTATTCATTCATCCATGATGGAAACTTTGAGAAATGCACAGCAAAAAAAAAAAAAAATTTTTGAAAGGATTATCCTCACATTCTGATTCGCATTTACACTGATTGATGGAAGCCTTGAATTAATTCCCGGAATTCCCCTACACAAAAACATACTTGCTTTGTTTAAGCTGCTGCTCTAGCATGTTCCTTATACAATTGTATTGCTGGCGTCCTGAGAGTTTTTCTTTAAAATCAGGACCTTCCTGATTTAACCACTTGTTAAAAAATGATTTCCGGTCAATTTTTAATAGTTTATAATTGGTATTACTGTACAATACCGAGTGGCGCATTTTTTGTGGTACAGTATTGAATTGGACATTAATTAACTCATCTTCAGCTTAGCAGTGCAGTGGTTTTGCTTTTTTTTCGCTAACTCATCAATCATCACACTGTCCAAAATTGGAGTTTATTTTTATGCGAGATCATTAGTCAGGGTTATAATTGAAGATTTCAAAAAAAATTTCAAATTTAATCTTGTAGAATTTGATATTTATTATTGGTATTTTCAAAACGGAATAAAGTAGTTTTTCCTTCTGAAAAAATTATCTGCAAGTATAAACAAGTACTGTATCTGAGAAAGTGATTGGAAACGATAGTTTCGAATCGGTGGAAATGCGAGTTGCATTGTCTTGGATTCAACTGGGATTTCTTGTTTTTTTGTTTTTATATAAGCGAGATTTCAAGAAAAATCAAAACACAGGATTCGCAGTTTCAGTTTCCTCCAATTTTTTTTCCTCCATCGTCGGGCAATTTTTCTCTTCTCGCAATAAAAATCGGGCCAACAACAATAAAATTCCTCGGATTTACGAAATAAAAACTTCGTTTTAAACTTCCCTCTAAATTATCACAACCCCCCAAAAGAAAAAAAAAAAAAAATCTAAATCTAGCCCATTAAAAAAAAAAAAACCTGCTGAATCAACACACGCGAAAAAAACCGTCTCCCCCCAGAAAACAGGGGCTTTCAGAAAACTTCTCTCTCTCTCACTCTTTCAACAAAAAAAAAATTTCATGGCACTCGCCTCCACCTCCCAGGCCCGACCAAAATAAAAACACATCGGATCACATTTTTGCAAAAAAAAAACACGAATCGACTCTTGCACAGGAAAAAAACCCTCGTATGTACACTCATTCTCAGTCACGCGTCAAAAAAATCTTTGGCAACAAACCGACGTGGGGCGAAGAGAGAACCGGAAACTGGGGAAAAAAAGGAGGAAATATAAATTACGATGCGATGCAACGTGATCATGATGACATGGAAAAAACGTAAATAAAAATAATAACTGAAATGGGAAACCACGTAATTCTCATTTATCTTATTCATTCACGATATTTAAATTATTTTTCCGTTCTCCTTTGGGCATGTTTCTATTTTTGCCCGTAGTTAAGGCCTTGGAAAGCTAAAGTTCCCAAGTGAGCCAGTAAGTAAGTAAGTGAGTAAGGGCTTTTAAGGGTACTGACTGAAAAGCGAAAGTTTTTTTTTCTTTCTTCGTTATAACTGCACAACACAGACCCCGGGGGAACAACGAGTATTAAATAGCACAACCCAGCCTGACTTTGCAGCTATTGCTTCCTCACGATTAAGAATAAATTAGCAGACAGCACCAGAGCACTGAACAGCTGAAACCTCGCCCTTGATAAGTTAAGGCGGAGACATTTATCAAATCCGATAATTACAATCCTCTAAATAAAATTTTTAAAATCGGCATAAATAGCTCCTATTTCGGGATTTCACCCTTTAAGTACCAGCACTAAATCAGAGTACCGGTATACTATCTTTCACAAAAAGAAAAGCTCTTTGATGTTAAAACGGATTTTATACTATACTAGAATTCTCCACGATAATTTTTCATCGATGTAAAAATTGATTTTAAAAATTGTGTCCTACACTGGAATAATTTTCGAACCAAGATACATTTAAAAAATAAAGGCAAAACGTAGGGGTAGCTGAACTCTTTAAGATTACACCATCTCTTAATATCTGAAGCCCTTGAACCTCTTGAAACCCAGGTCTAACTCTTGGGATTTACACACTAAGATGAAATGCGAGAGTGGTGCAGCAGGAGGGGGAAACTTTGGACTCGAACACAGACAGATTTTATAAATGAATGAATGAATGAGTGAATGACCAAGTTTGCAGTAATGGAGGACTACGAGTCCCATATCAGAAGATCTAGCACATAGATGCACGCATACATAGATAGAGAGATAGCTTGATTGATCGATCGATTGATTGATTGATTGACAGACAGACAGATGATTGGACATATGAATGGTTGGTTGGTTGGATGGATGGATAAATGAACGACACCGGGATGCAAGCATAGGGGACATATTCGGGGAAGGCTGCATGTGGGGACACTTTTTTTTTCTTTTCCTGTGTGCATGTACGTGTATGTGTGTGTGTGTGTATTTAATTGCTGTGACAGAATAAACACACACACACACACACACACATATGGAAACACAAATGAAAAAGAATAGGGCAGGGCAGGGTAGCGTAAGGGGAACCACCAAAACTCATTTCTCCTTTTCTCTCTCTCCCCTCTCTGCTTTTGTTTTGCGTGGTACCCCCCACTACACCACACCACACTACACCACACCACTACCGACACCCGCAGCCCGTGACGACCATGTCCTGGTAGTTCTTGAGCACCACCTTGTCGTACTCGTCGAGGTACAGCATGGACATGGGTGCCAGCGACGTGGGCACGCAGCACGCGGGTGGCACGCTGAGGTTGATGCTGTGCACAATGTTCTGCACCACGGCGTGGTTCGTGGCGTTCAAGTGGTCGCCGGTGGGGAACCGACACTCGCCACGACACTGCCAGGCCATGTAACCGGGCGGTGCCACGATCCACGAGTCCCAATTCACGTCGGCAAAGTCCACGTAGAGCTCGTGTCGGGCGCAGTGTTCCGAGAACCGGGAACCCTTCCGCTTCCGGCCGCCTCCTCCTCCTCCTCCTNAAAACACGAATCGACTCTTGCACAGGAAAAAAACCCTCGTATGTACACTCATTCTCAGTCACGCGTCAAAAAAATCTTTGGCAACAAACCGACGTGGGGCGAAGAGAGAACCGGAAACTGGGGAAAAAAAGGAGGAAATATAAATTACGATGCGATGCAACGTGATCATGATGACATGGAAAAAACGTAAATAAAAATAATAACTGAAATGGGAAACCACGTAATTCTCATTTATCTTATTCATTCACGATATTTAAATTATTTTTGGCAAGAGGAAACCCGTACAAAGATAAAAACGGGCATCAATTCCGGAACCTTTCGATTTCAAGGGTTCACTCGGTCATTCATTCATTCACTCATTCCCGAAAATTCCCATGACTGACTTTTCGCTTTTTTTTTTTTTTCTCGTTATAACTGCACAACACAGACCCCGGGGGAACAACGAGTATTAAATAGCACAACCTAGCCTGACTTTGCAGCTATTGCTTCCTCACGATTAAGAATAAATTAGCAGACAGCGCCAGAGCACTGAACAGCTGAAACCTCGCCCTTGATAAGTTAAGGCGGAGAAATTCATCAACTCCAATAATTACAATCCTCTAAATAAAATTTTAAAAATCGGCATAAATAGCTCCTATTTCGGGATTTCCCCCTTTAAGTACCAGCACTAAATCAGAGTACCGGTATACTATCTTTCACAAAAAGAAAAGCTCTTTGATGTAAAAACGGAGTGCAAAAATCATTTTTATACTATACTAGAATTCTCCACGATAATTTTTCATCGATGTAAAAATTGATTTTAAAAATTGTGTCCTACACTGGAATAATTTTCGAACCAAGATACATTTAAAAAATAAAGGCAAAACGTAGGGGTAGCTGAACTCTTTAAGATTACACCATCTCTTAATATCTGAAGTCCTTGAACCTCTTGAAACCCAGGTCTAACTCTTGGGATTTACACACTAAGATGAAATGTGAAAGTGGTGCAGCAGGAGGGGGGAACTTTGGACTCGAAAACAGACAGATTTTATAAAAGAATGAATGAATGAATGAATGACCAAGCTTGCAGTAATGGAGGACCACGAGTCCCATATCAGAAGATCTAGCACATAGATGCACGCATACATAGATAGAGAGATAGCTTGATTGATTGATTGATTGATTGATTGACAGACAGACAGATGATTGGACATATGAATGGTTGGTTGGTTGGTTGGTTGGATGGATGGATAAATGAACGACACCGGGATGCAAGCATAGGGGACATATTCGGGGAAGGCTGCATGTGGGGACACTTTTTTTTTATTTTCCTGTGTGCATGTACGTGTATGTGTGTGTGTGTGTGTATTTAATTGCTGTGACAGAATAAACACACACACACACACACACACATATGGAAACACAAATGAAAAAGAATAGGGCAGGGCAGGGTAGCGTAAGGGGAACCACCAAAACTCATTTCTCCTTTTCTCTCTCTCCCCTCTCTGTTTTTGTTTTGTTTCGTGGTACCCCTGACTACACTACACTACACTACACTACACCACACCACTACCGACACCCGCAGCCCGTGACGACCATGTCCTGGTAGTTCTTGAGCACCACCTTGTCGTACTCGTCGAGGTACAGCATGGACATGGGTGCCAGCGACGTGGGCACGCAGCACGCGGGTGGCACGCTGAGGTTGATGCTGTGCACAATGTTCTGCACCACGGCGTGGTTCGTGGCGTTCAAGTGGTCGCCGGTGGGGAACCGACACTCGCCACGACACTGCCAGGCCATGTAACCGGGCGGTGCCACGATCCACGAGTCCCAATTCACGTCGGCAAAGTCCACGTAGAGCTCGTGTCGGGCGCAGTGTTCCGAGAACCGGGAACCCTTCCGCTTCCGGCCGCCTCCTCCTCCTCCTCCTGCTGTTGATCCTGCTGCTGCTTCTCGACGCTGTCGACGACTGCTTTCCAGACTCCATGATGTTCCGCCGTCGCCTGCTTCTTCCGGGTGACGACCGTCGTCCGTGTACGTCACCAGCACCGGCAGTCGGTCGTCGTCGACCACTGCCACTACCACTTGTTCTTCTTCTCCTTTTCTTTGTGCTTCTGTTGCTGTCGTCGTCGTCGTCGATCGACGCAGTCGCACTTTCGTTGTCGTCGGGGAACTCGACTTGGCTGCTCTCGACTTTTCGCGTCGCACGGACACGACGAGACCGTGGTTGCTTTGGGGACCCAGGCGGTGCCAGCGGACCACAGCGGGTCTCACGTCCAGCTCGACGACACCACCACCACCACCACCACCAGCACCAGTCGTCGTCGTGACGACACGGGTGTCGAGGAGGTTGAGGCGAGCCACGGGGGACGTGGGGGACGCTGGCTCGACGACGTCGTAGATGGACACTCTTTCCTTGGTGACGACGACGGCGTCGTTGGCATCCTCATCAGCATCGTTGGCGTCGACAAAGAGCCGCACTTCGGCGGCCTGCATCTTCTCGCTGACGGGCACTGACGACACGTCGAACCGGAGATGCACTTGGTTCAGGGGGTATGATGATGACGACGACGATGATGATGATCTCGGTGACTCTTCTGTCGTCGTCGTCGTCGTCGTCGTTGTTGTTGTTGTTGCTGCTGCTGTTGTTGGTGATGTCTGGGGTGGAGACAAGAGGGGCAAGACACGGACTGTGTTTGCTGTGTGGGTTCGCTTTTCGGGCAGGTTCAGGTGCACTGTGTCCGACTCTTCCTCTGTGACCTAATGTGGAAGGAGGAGAAAAATAAACGAGAGAAAGAGCACACATTAATAAAAATAATGATAAAACTTTCAATTCCAAAGTTGAAATGAGAAACGTGAGCACATGGTTTTTTATCAACAAAGATAGTAGACCATTTCCAGGGGGGGGGGGTCCTTTCTTTTTTTTGGCGAGAGCCAATCTGATCAACTTCGATATAGCTTGGAAGAATGAGTACTGCTGGATATCGTCCGCTTTAATCACCACCTTAATCTTGTCAAACACAATGCCATATATCTGTGTTCTAGGACCGAAAAATGAAAGAAAAAAACTGGAAATTTTTCGTTCAACTCATCATTGCATTTTTTTAGACAGATGCGAAAAAGGAAGATATTGGACATTGTTGACAGTGTTTACTCATGCATGATGACCTCATATGATGTATCAAAATTGAACTAGGGTGCAAAAAAACAACTTCATTTATTTTTCCAGACGGAAGTGTTAGGACTCTATCCGACAAAATTCTGGATTAAAATGGAAACAGGTCAGACATGCGAGGGCATTGCAGAAAACATTTTCAACAGCATTCAACATTTTTCATGAATTATTTTGAAATATGCCATTCAAATATTTTTTCATCTTTTTAATGGCGCGTGGAAAAATCCCCACAAAATTGCTTGAATTGTTTTCATATTCAGCAAAGTCATTTTTGAATTTCAATTTTTGTGAAATTCAGAAAAATGATAAGACAGATTATCATGAAGGAGAATCTTTTCTGAATCTCAAGGATGAAAGTTCCATTTAGAAATTACTTTGCACTAATTTAATTTTTGTCCAAGCTTTTCAACAAAACATCATCACAGGTGTCTGCAAATCCTGCGCAAAATCTCATGGATAAAATATTTTCGCGCATTTTCAGAAAACGAATTGGCGCAAGAGAAATGTGAACTTCTTCCACACATTTTACACGTCATTTTGAAATACATGCGTATTTGCAAATCCGACAATAGTCCATCAGTCACCCTAGCTTTTCAAGTATGTGGCTGTTGAATAGATGTCGCCTCAATCTTTAACTTGAACCAATAACCCATTCGTGAAGCATTAGCATCTTTTTAAACCTGGTTTTAAGAGCTTTACATAGACGTAAGGCAATTAAAACGAAAAATTGAAATGCCGTCATTGACTTTTGACGCAAATCACTTCAAATTTTTTTAAACAATTGTTATCTGAAGCTAGGTAAAATATTATTATTTCATTAAGTCAGAGTTTTAGTGCCAAGACTTGTCGCGGATGGAAATAGTCTCACGATGATTTCCAACGAATTTAAGTTACTGTGCAGTAGTTTATTCAGAATAGCCAGTGAAATAAGTTCATGGAAATTTCCGGGAAGCACGTAGAGACGCTAGAAAAACAATATCGCTCAAAATAGGAAAAATTGAAAAACAAATTCTTTTTTGCAAAAATTAATTAATATTTTTTAGTACTGTACTGCATAAATAATTGTGACGGCCAGAGACACTTATCCCACTCAATTCGATTCAAAATTATAAATGGACGAAGCAGCAAATGGGAGAAAAAAACCTCTCACTGCTCATTCATTTCGAATAGTTTTTTGATGAATTGTAGAATCATCATCCTTGCACACTTGCCTTTAAAAAAAAAACTGAATACAGTCGCTCACGTTAAAACATTCGAAAATTTCACGGTCGGAAATCCTTCCACGGATTTGAAGGAAATCATAATTTATGTTCCAGAAAAGAAAGCAAATCGGTAATATTTTTCCGAAGGCTTATTTTGGTCACAAAATTCTCATCTTTTACACCTCTTTCACCAACTGAATTCCACTTAATCTAAGAAACGCGTAAATTTCAATCAACTGAGAAAATGATCAGATTTCCTTTCCCCAAATATTGAAGTAACAAAATAAATTGAAAAAGGATGACGATAAATTAGTCTTCTTCGACGTAAGGTGATCCTTTATTGCAAAAATCTAGAGAAATCTCGAAGAAAAGCGAATTTTTACAAATGCTCTCCCAAACTTGTCTTCAAATATTCCGTAATTTCTTCACTTCCTGCACTCTTCATACGTATAAATGCTACTTTCCCCAAATGATACAATAATAAATATGGCTGTGAATATTTCTTTTCTTGAAATATAAAAATGACTGAAAACGAATCAAACAGATCCATTGGATCGTCAAATCAACTCGAGATTATGGAAAGCTGCTCAATGAACTCACAGTTCTACTTCATCGGCAGACTTTTGCACAATCAAGACAGAAACAGAGTTATGCCAATATTTGCAATGAACGCAATTGAGTGTAATTCAAGAACTCTTCCGCACATGCTTTTCAAAGTACAGCAGACATTTTATAATAGCACTGCATTCCTTCCACACGTAAAGAATTTATCAAGAAAATTTCGCGAACTCAGAAAAGGAAATCAGGGAATTTAGGCAGAGGAAAGGAAAAGCCTCCATTCTGTCCAAACACAAAAATACTGTAACTGATGACGGAATGAATAATTAAGGCTGATTTTAAGTTTCCAGTTTTTCAAAGGATAATTAAAAAAAAATCTAATGATCTAATCGTTAATTGGCAGGTCTGATGTGAAAATTTGTTGCAGTCATAAATTTCGAAAATCTCATTATACGCTTGTAACAAATTATTCAGCATGTCAACCTTTCTCCCGCACCCAACATGTTTTTGACATGAAATTTTAATCTATTCCAAAAATGTAAATTTCCGTTTTCTCGGATCGCAATTATGCGGTCAAATGGTCAAACATTGGGGCCCTGCATCTTCTTCGTCCTCCGGTTTTCTCGTACCCAGGTTTCGGGATCCCAACAAGAGAATTAAAAAAAATAAAATAAAAATAAAGCAAGGGTCCTTCTTTTTTTTTGGGGGCTTCAAAAGGAAAGCCGGTATAAGGCAGAGCTCTACCTAACGTATTACTTCCAGGCCCCTTCCCTTAACGGAAAAATCGCGAAGGAGCGATTTTGGTAGCGGGGGTCCAAGGATTCCTTCTCGGCCGACTTGGGAGGGAAACAAAAAATAATAATAATTTAAATAAAAAAAAAAAATTAGATGAGAAGAAAAGCAAACGCCCAGTCTTCTGCACACTCGACAACGTGATGGAAGGAAGAAATATTGGCCACCGTCAAGCTGTTTTTGTTTCGTTTTTATTTTTTTTCGTGTTGCAGAAATGCTGCGGGGGAGTGCGAAATTCTCGGCCACATTCCGGCTCTATGTGGTTTGTGCAGAGAACCCTATTATGTTACCCATGAGAGTATTCAAAGTTGTCGTCAATGGAACCTTAATTGACCGAGTACCCCTTGGGCTAAAAATAGCGCTTAGGTAATTTGTACCTTTCGTGCCCTGACGTTTATTCATTACGGTACGCATCAACTCAGTATAGAATTCCTGCCACCACCTAAAAGGCTTAAATGTCACACTGCGAAAAAAAATAAACTGGATCTTCATTAAACGTTATGCGAAGGAATCCATAATTACTGATGAGTGGCTCAACGCAATTTTTATTAGTTTTCAAGGAATTCCGCATACTGCTTAAATGCGAGACCTTTCGTTGTCGTGCTGAATTACTCATAAATGTGCACAACAAATTTACATTTATATTTCCGAGTCAATAAGGCAGACAAAACCGAGTTGTAAAGCATTTCAAGCACCACTACTTCCTCCATCTTTTAAAATAACCATCAAAATGGAAATTATTCCATTGCCTTTCGAAACAGGGAATGCAAACTCAAAAAGCAGCAGTCAACTTTGTCCTTCTGCATGAAAAGAAATCATCGGAAAGGCATTGAAATGCATTTAATCAGGACTTTCATGACGGTATCAGCGAAATATTTCACGCAGACTATTATACTGTAGTGTAATTTTTGCTCTACCCCGTATAAAAATGCTAGCTCTTTGTCTAAAATTCAATTCTTATCTTTACAAATTCAAAAATGAACGGAGAAAGTGACTCGAGCATATTTTTAATGCGAACAAAAATTCGGATCAAGCGATAATAAGCAGCCACACATGCAATGTATTAGTTAAAATGTGCAATGCGCTTTAATACGACCAAACTGCAAAAAAAAAAGGTATACGAGAAACTCGAGTTTTTTTTCTGTCTTTTCCAAGTGCAGCATTTGGTGAAAAAGAAGTAATCTTGGGTGGAACTAGAAGCAACCCTTTTTCTAGCAATGTTACCCGTTTTTCTTTTTGAAATATACGTGGAATAAAATTGGAACTATTATTTTCTTTAGTTTGTGTCGCGGATTTTCAACAGAACGCGTCGGAAAAAGGCATCTTATTTCTTTTCTTGTGGCTATAAGACAAGGAAGTAAACAAACAAAGCGTAAAATTTGAATAAAATGACAAATGAAGGCATTTGTCGGAAGGAACAGATATGACCCTTCAGGCTTCAACTTTTATTCACGCCAAAATCCGATTTGACAATGCTGTATACTGAAGAAAATTCCCAGTTCTCAAAATGTGTCAAAGGCGATCACATCGGACATAATTTTCCTATACGGTGTAAAAATGCCCAAACCTAACTCTCAAAATTTAATTAAATAAGCGATTGAAAATCTGCAGGGCAACTGGCATCTCAAAATCGCATTTCGTCAAGCCCGTGAAAATGCTTTCATTATTCAACAAGAGAAGGAAATTTCCATGCGATTTTCAAATCGAGGGCTCACAAAACTTGGACAAGAAACCCCGCACAAGAATGAGAAAAATAAATTCAATCAATC